CGAGAAAGTGAAACCCCGCGCAAAAAGAACAAAAAACAAAGAAAACCCCAAAAAGCAAAAAAAAAAAAAAAAACCAAAAAACCCCACCCCCAGCAACCGATACTGACGCACGGAGGCTTTATTGGAAAGTTTCATAACTGCCTGCGCGCTGGCTCGTTACGACACCGCGCTCGCGCGCTCCCCTACGCGCACAGCACACGCTCGGAGGCTGCTCGCACTCACCACCGCACTGGAAGTATTTAAAAAAAAGCCAAAAAAAAAAAAGTGCAATGCAGCTGTGAAATGAAGAGTGATGAAGAGTGGAGGCTTGGGTTGGTGGCTCTGAGGAATTCCTGGCGGGGCGTGCAAAAGCTCTACACTTTCTGAACTGTGACAGCCGCTGCACGACTTGGGGTGCCCTTCGCTTCTGCAAAACTCCAGGTGCCTGAACTCCAAAGGAAACCTCCTCTCTCTCTCTCCAGATGCGGCACTGGAGCTGAAGGATATGCGGGGAAGCCGTGTAAAAAACATAGTTCTTAGTTTTCTCAAAAGAAATGAAAAATCTGTGCTAGAGCGAGCCCAGGTATGAGGCACTTCTTTCTTAAGGCATCTGGCGCATTTGCCCTGGTAAAAGCTAGTGGGGCTCCTTGCAGAGCACGGTTCTGCTCCATGCAAGGTGGCTGGAATACAGGGGACCTTCCAGCTGCTTTCCCCCCTCCCTTGCTTTTTATTCATTCTTTTTATCTGTGACAGTCTGCTGCCTCGATCCAGTCTACGTTTGGATTTGCTTGTGTCCAAACACCTCAGTGTTTACATTACCGGAGAACTTGTATTTTGCACCAAAACTCAGCTAAGCTTGTCGCACTTAAACATTTATTTCACAAATTCCCTCCCCTATCTGAGGAAAAATCAAATCACCGCTTGGGCCAGATTTAGTACTAGCAGTAGTTTTGTGCTGCTGTTTGGAGGAGGTTTTGCTGCTTGTCCTTCCCAGAGCAAAATCCCGGAGAACAGGGATGAGCCCTGCAGCAGGCGGCAGTTAGCTGTGCGCGTCAGAAGGGATCCAAGGCTCCCGATCACCCCTGGGTGCCAAGGCACCGTCCCCCCTTGCCCATCCCAGATGTTTCCGTCCTTCAGCCAAGCAAACACAGGTTCACTACGTACACAGCAGCCAAGGAAAAACAACCACAACAATCTACGGCTGCACTGCGAGCAACCGGAGGGCTTCCCATTGCCCCGGATGGCCGGGGAAGCTGCTGTGCCAACCTAAGATGCACCTGCAGAAAGCAGGGCAAATTAGGGCAAAATACGTCACTTCAGCACAGGTTACCTGTACCTACCATTACATCATTACAAAGCAATACTTGACATTGGCATCATGCTGCCCATCCGTGGATATCCTTGACTTCTTGGTCATCTGGGGGCTCAGCCCAAGCAGCTCTTGGGCATGAAGATAAAAGGCCCAAGCTTCTCACTCTTAGCACATTTTCAGAGCGGAGACTGTAAATTCCCTTTGCCTTAATTCAGTTAATCCCGCCCACAGTGCCCGTATCACCATTTTAGGCAGAAGAAACCCACAGCTCCAAGGCCCAGTGATGCATTCGAAGAGCGGCAATCATCTCAAGAGCATGGAAGGAGCATCCAGCATTGCCTCCAGCACCCTGCCTTCCTCTGAAATCTTTCTCCTCATGAGAGCAGGCCCTTTTCTAGCAGAAACTCTTCCTCCGTCCATGGGGCCCACATGCTGCAGGTGACCCTGCACGGGAAGTCCCTAAGCCTCCACAAAGTGCCCGAGGGGTAGAGGGATAATCTGTGGCTGCAGCAGCCCGTCCATCTAGAGCTGTCTCAATGCCTAAAGTAGTGCACAGCTATGAGAGTATGTGCTGCCTGCCCCAGAAATTATAGGATGCTGCTGCAAGGCAATGGTAGGATACACACTAAGTGTCACAAAATAAAGAGAGCTTTCAAGAAGCTCACCATGTTACGGTAACGGTGCTGTTACCTCCTGGAACGTGCGTAGTACACACACCTCTTCCATGCACATGCTGCATGCACTGCTACCCCCTGCAAATGTTAAAAAATTCAGGGCAGGTCCCTCCCAGAACACGAGCTTGGTTGCACTTGCTTAAAGAAAAAAAGAAAAAAAAAAAGAAAATGTTGTGATCATGGGGCAAGTGCAAGGATATCATTAGTAAGAGAATTTGCTGTGTCAGCTTTGTTCGCCAGAGCTCTGCCATCTAAAAAATAATTTAATTAAGATAAATTTTAATTGAAAAAAAAAACCCACCTCCCACTAATTTATTTAAATCCCCTCCTCTTTGGCGACACAGCACAGAAATCCCCATGGCAATGCTGAGCAGCATGCGCTCCGCAGGTGAGGAACAAAGACCGTGGCAGAAAAGAGTTAAAACCCTCCCAAGGCACATGCGCTTCAGCTTCCCACAAGCCACACCACAGAAGGTAGGGCATGCTGCAGCACATGCCAAAGCTCGGAATTAAGTCTTCCAAAAAAAAAAGGAAACCCCACTCTTCTTAAAGGCACCACACGTCCTGCTGCACCAGCAGGGAAGGGGGAAAGTGCAGCGAAAGGAGGAGATGTGGCTTTGTGGAGGAAAGAGACAGCGAGCTGAGGGGAAGGGAAGTCGCAAACCTCGTGACTCATCGGGTCTTTTACTCCAGCATCCACAGAAGGCGCCTTTATCATCGGAAAACAAAGCATAAAGCAAATCAAGAAAGTACAAAAGCAGAGAGGCAGCTATTGGAGCCCTTCCCCACCGTGTCCCACAGCAGCCTCTGCCCGCCATCGGTCTCGGCTGGGCACAGCACAGCCCTGGCTTTTTTAGTCCTTTATTTCCACCCTCACCGCAGCCAAGCGCTGATTTGCTTATGGGGATGCCTGAAGCATCTCTTGGGAGCTCTCATGCTTCTCGGGTTCCCGGGGACAGATAGCAGCTGCTAGAAAGTGCTGCTCTGGTTGCCCTCACTGTAGCATCCGCAGCCCATCCTGCCACGGCTACCGCATTCCCACTGCCTGCCTTCAGGACACACCTGCACTGAATAAGGACCCCCCAAGTCATTACAGCCTCTAGCGGATTGGGGACAACTTCTGGGAAATTCTCCTTAGGCGGGCGCTAAGTATGAGAAATGGCTCTGCCTAGGAGATCTTCTCTGCAGAAGCAAAGACTTGCAGCAACCATTCTTCTCTTCACAGTCTTCTGCTGGACAACATATTTTATCTCTTCACTGACTTTGGGTGCCTCTCAGTCACCTCTCCTTGGCCCCTGCTCCCTCTTCTTTTTAACTTTCTCGGTTAACTGACTCTTTTCTCAGGAAAAGTTATGAAGTGAAAAGGAGATGGAAAGAAAAAGGAGATGAAACCGCTGGTACTAACACACTGGCTTGTTTGCAAGCCAGTCTCCAGCTGGTTTTAAAGAAATACCCCCTTCATCTCGTCTGTTCGGACTGTAGGCTCTTCCTTAGGCAAGGTGCCTTTACATCCTGCACTGCAGCTAGCAAAACGGCCTGAGCCCAGAGCGAGCACCCGGTCGCTAACCTAATATAACACAGGACACGAGTCCAGCAATATCTGTAAGGAAACCTTGCTCAAAACACCCATGAAATCCCTTCCCCTTTCCCAGCAGAAGTATTGAGGTTACAAAACAAAAGAATACACACAGTAGTAAAAGCACAGGAGATTGCTAAACGTTTCAGCCTTGTCCGTCAGGAGGCAGGAATTAGGACAGGTAACCCAAAACACGCCTGTTATGGCCCCATCCAGCATAGCAAGTTTTCCATCACAACGCAATTCCCCCTAGCTCATATTGTTACCTCTGTGACCCTCTGTTGCAAGAGGGGTTACCTGTTACCTCTCTGCGGGTCCTGGGAGTTTAAGCTTCAGTTTAAGCTTTTAAGCTTCGGTTTAAGCTCAGGCACCAAACTCAACCCACCGAAGGGTGTTCCCCACAAGCTCCAGGGTAAGCACACGACACTGCTGCTAAACGGAAACCAGTCAAACCTATAACCATGATTTAGAAACTAAAGTTGGACAGTTCTGATCTATACGCAAATCAACTGCTTAAAATACTTTGCGCTTTTACTAAATGATCATGCGATATTGGAAAATTAATCTTACAAAGTAACTGAGCTCATAAAGTGTATGACTTTTTTCTCTTTCTGAACCCTATGTGAATTCTTCTCTAAACTGCCTATCTTGCATAATTTTAATTGGATCCCAGAACATCGTGACCTTGCTTGCAGCAGCCACAGCATCTCGGTGCTGTCTGCTGCAGTTATATATGGTACAGCGCCTTCCAGACCTGCAAACCCGCGCGGCCCGGAGCTGTGTGCTCTGCGCTGCTACTGCGCTTATATCCAAACATTTCTGATTCAAGGTCTTCCAAGAAGGCTCTGATTGCCTTGGAAGGTCACCAAGATAGCGAGCCCACTTTGGTAACACGCTGGCTTTCTAATAAGCTGCAGCAGTGAACAACAAGTGATACCCTGGCTTTGCAGGAAGGCAGCAAAACACGGGCACGGCTGCGAGCAGGAACCTTACTTGGGATGAGGGCCACCTCCCGAGCACAGCTCGGCGCGGCCACTTTGGCACGGATCCGCACCAGTGCCAGCGCTGCGGGGATCTTTGGCCCTGATGTTACTGTGCTGCTGTAGCTCTCTGGAGCAAACCTTATAGT